AATTAATTCACAAAAAGAAACACTAGCGCATATCACACCAGAGTTTACTCTCCTGGGTGTGCCATTGAACATATGCCTGGGACTGCAGCATGTTGAGCCAAGGCATAGAGCCTACAGCTGGCAGGGGGCTCCAGGGGTCAGTCTGCCAGCCCAGGGATGCTCCAACCTGGCTCAACATGCTGCAGAGGAGTTGGCTGGGGCGTGACGGTGCTCCCGTGCAGGGCTACCCAGCAGGCAGCCCCCACACTGAAGCACTCTTATGCTCCCAGTAACCCCCATCAGTGTCTACACATGCATTGCTGTGCATGAAAAAACTCCACAGCAGGACAGTACTTGTATTTACAACTACTAACCGGCTGCAGAGTTTATAACATTCCTGTGGCCTATTAGGGCCACATCTATAGATGCCGAGATGTGTACCGAGGATCTAATTAGGCAACTCTGCAGTAAACATCTCATGAAGACATGCCCAGGAAGTATCATATCCCAGGAGACAGTCTGGGCGAGGCAGTTCAGAACACATGTGTAGATGGTAATGCCAGGATTAGTTTACAGGCAGTCCTTGGACTTATAACACAATTAGTTCCTAAAAACCACGTGTTAAGTCGAAACATCATAACTTGGAACCGATTTTTCCCATAGGAACAATGTTAAAAATGGAGGATTGGTTCCTGAACCAAGGCGTGATATCCTATTTCAGGGATCAGCAACCCCCAGCACACATGCCGAGCATGGCACATGAGGCATTTTGCTCGGCATGCCACCACCAGCTTGGGATCTAGGCAGCTGCTGCCAGCTGAGATCCTGGGCTCCTCCCAGCAGGTGGCTAGGAGGCTGCAAGCCCTGCTGCAAGCGGCCCAGGCACCATGACTGGCAGAAGCTACCCCAGAGTGTGGGCCAGCTGCAGCCCGGCCACAGCCCTGACAGACGCAGTGCCGGTGTCTGCTGCCTTCCCAGAGCCTGGGCCGGGAGACAGCTGGGGCTGGGGAGGGGAGGCAACAGCTGTT